CATACGCTGAACAAGTTCCAAAAGTGCTATCTCGAATCTTCATCAACCTCTCCATAATTCTTCCAAGGCTCAACATAGTAGCCGGTTAGCGTGTCGGAGAGCACATTCTTCACCGGCTTATCATCAAACCTATAATAAAGGATAAACATTCATGTAAGTAGATAGTCAACACAAAAGTGAACAAAACATGGTAAAAGTAATACAAATTCACTTTATCAAAATAAATACGAATTTAAGGATATTTCATTACAAATACATACGCACCAAAGTGTGGAAGGGTCCAACTCCAGCAAGTCATTAGGTTGCGGGTCCTGTATCTCCTGTTCCTGTTGCTCCTGTTGCCCCTGTCTCGGATTGATGATTTCTTGAGAGGCCCCCAAATCATGTGCCTCCTCTTCCTCCATTGACTCATCCTCGTCATCACGTACAACCTGGGATTTCCCCTTAGTCTTTCTCCTCTTGTACGTTTATCCTTTATTTCCTCCTCCCATGATGACCACTTGAAAAAGTTGTTAGTACCATGATCGCACATTGTAATTTCATAAATTAGATCCATATGACATTAAAAAATAAAATGAGACCAAAAATGTAATGCAATATTACAAGTCCGAGTAGTCATTAAAAACTAAACATTCGAAGACAATAGTTAAAGGAGTAACTACATATTCTCCTCTTCATTACTCTTATCACTACTACCACTATCATTATCACTATCATTATTACTATCACTAGTGTCATCTAAATATACATCAATGTCCTCTTCTTCGTCACTATCACTGGAGTCAATGCTTTCTTCTTCTTCTTCATCGCTTGAGATAACAAAGCCATCGTCATCATCATCATCACTAGAGAGTGAGGAATAGCTCAAGTGGTTAGAGATTCCCTCCCGGTTCCAGGAGATCATGGGATCAATTCTCACCCCCGCCCTTGTGGCTCTCTAAGAACCAAAAAAAAAAATCATCATCATCACTATCAAGTTCATAGTCTGGAATGTCAGTTGGTGGACAAAGCGTTGCATGTACTTGTGGAGAAGGACCCTGCAAAAACTCTAAATCCACCGGCGCATCAATCACCGACCTTTCTTAAGTTCTAAATACAGCCCACCATTGAACCCGATCACGTTTAAGGCTAGGGTAAGATGCATAATACACTTGAGACACTGGGTAAGATAAGACAAATGGATCATACTTGGGATATTTCTTAGTATGATTTACTTCGACAAGCTTGTATTGTTCATGAATGTTCATTCCTTTACCTCAATCCATCCAATTACAACTAAACAAGATAGTCTTGTACTCTTTTTCGGGACCGGTGTAGACAAGTTCAATTATGTCGTTTAAAATGCCAAAGTACTCTCCACCGTCTTCACTTGAGACACACACCCCATAATTCATCGTAGATTTTTGTTTGCCATAGGACTATGTAGACACCCATTTGTGTCTCCCCAAAACCAAACCCAGTGATGAGTACCTTTTCACGTCGAATCATAATCGAATAAAGTGAAAGTGTGGAAAGTTTAGTGTTGCGGATAGTTTTATTTTCTTTTCTCTTCTCTCTGTTTTTGAAAACTTATTTTAAAAAAACAGCCAATCCAGTTTGGTTGGTCCATGATATGGGTCCAATAGTAGTGTAGTTGGATGGGGCTTGACAAGAGCTTTCCAACGATATATTATAAGCCCAATTCCGATGAATATTGAGGAAGTTATGGCCAATTTACCAAACTGGGCCCGGTTTGAGCCTTATATACGGCCCAATGATCTAGGGGAGGGCCTAATATAGATTTATCATTCCTAATGCAATTAGGAATGGTTTTAGTCTTCTAGATTCTTCTAGAAGGTTCTTTTCATTCCTAATTCAATTAGCATTGATAAATTGATTTTTGTTGACTTTTCAGAGTTTTAATTAAAATCAAAGAACATTTTTGAAGGAAAGATACGATTTTATCCTCCTGTACGGCAAAATTTATCTGATTTTAGAAAACGCGTCAAAAACAGGGTTAGCGCCAGACGCCAGGCATTGGCACCTGGCGCTAGCATTGGCGCCTAGCGCTAATGTTTGCACCTGACGCTAATAAGCTGGCGTTGGTGCCAGCTCTGTTTTAGGTGCGCCAATGCTCTGTTTTTGATATTTTATCTTTTTGGCTGATTTCTCTATAAATAACGTATTAAAAACTCCGTTTTGATTCATCAACAACCACTTTTCAATTATAATCATCTAACCAATTCTCTTTAATCATTCACCATCTCTCTTTCTCTCTCTTTTTCTAAACTTTCTTTTCACATACAAAATTCCGCATTAGCAAGACCTAGAAACACCTAGCCATATTCGAAGTTGCCTTCGCCCTAGACGTGAAAGGTTTAACTTTTGTGGGTTTGGTCCCAAATCTCTATTTCCATTATTTAATTTAATTGTTTGTTTATTATTTTCCTTGAAGTTACTAACGTGTGTATTTTGTTATTAGAAAGACGTACGAGGCATCAAAGTAAGTGCTTTAATGGATTTAATTGATGTTATGATGTAGAAATCATGTTTATATTGTTATTATGATATTCCTAGTATCATGTCTAGGGTAATTTTAATATTAAATATGATTGTTACGATGCTTCCTATGTTCTTCCTAATATTTATGATTGTTAGTATCATGTTAGGGCTAAAGATTTGATTTTTATTGCTTAGTGACATGCTAGGATTTGTTATTAATCTTGTTAGTATCATGCCTAGGATCTTGCTATTATTATGCTTTAATATTAACATGAACATGATTATGATTATGATTATAATGACTATAATTTATGATGATTATGAATATTATTATTATTTTTATTTATGATGATTATTATTATGATTGTTATTATTATTTATTATGTTGCTTGATGTTTATTGTCATTGTTTGATCACGCCTTTAATGCATGTTTAAAGGAAATTGGTATTTTTAATCACGCTTATATAAGATAATTAGTAATCTTGTTTAGGGTTAATTGTGATTATAATTCAAGTGATCGCCAATAATAGTTTTATTTGTGCATTAAATTCAACCAACATAGATAAACAGGTTTAGGGTTAATCCTATTGATTGTATGTTAGTCAGAAAGCGCACATGAATACGATCAGAATAAAGTAGAGGCCGAATATTAGGGCAGGTTCAATCTCTTTTAGGTTGGATTTGTACCTTCATCCCCGAACCCTTATTTGGTTCTAGACTTATGGAGTTGACGATCTCTTGGATCGTCAAGGGGTGTAACCTTCACCCTGTGAACGGTTTACAAGTTCCTAAAACTTGTTGGCGACTCTTTTGCTATATCTTCTTCCCTTTTGGACGCCACCGTACTTTAGTGTATGATCACAATGGGGTTCAAGCTAGGGGGTTAACGCTTGAATTTATTCCCTACAGTTTTTGGCGAATCCACTGGGGAAGATTTCTATTATAATTCCTAATTTTGTTTCGGCAATGATTTAGAATGAGTGGATGAGACTCGAAACGTTCTAAGTATTTCATGTGCGTAATTTTGATTAACATTATTGTCATATGCATAAAAAAGATCTCATTGGAAACACCATCCGTAATGAGTTAAAAACATAGGATTTTATACGTAGGAAATTTGAGAAATATCTTGCACAACTAGGACCGAAATAACACCGCGCGAAACTGGAAAATTCTATCGAGCATAGAAAGCTGCTGAGGCATGTGGGAAGTAGCGCCAATGACCAGAGCATTGGCGCCAGGCATCTAACTGTAGCGCCAGACGCCAGCATTGGCGCCAGGCGCTACAGCTAAATCCAGGCGCCAGTCTCTGTTTGCTGGCGCTAACTTCCCCCAATACCGAGCCAGAAATATGCGCTCTAATTTCGACCGGTT